CTGTGGGCAGGACAGGAGAGGAGCAGAGAAGGGAATGTGCAAGAGTCACCTCAATGGTCTTCTCCCATGCTGCCAGAGCAAAGCTAAAACTGAGCATGCCAGGGAATGTGGCACCTGCCTGGGTGACAGGTGCCCACCAACTCTCCAGGCTGACCCCAACACGTATAGCTGTGGGGCCAGATCACGGAGGTCCTGGCAGGAGGTGGCCAGGGAGGTCGCAGGGAGCGTGGGAGGGTCGTTTCCCGGTGCTCAAGGTGCTCCCATCATAATTAATGTTGCAAGTCATCCTTCAAGCTCCTTAGATACCCTGTGTCTGAGCAAAATCATTTCCTGTTTGACTTTGTAAATCAAAGTAGACGATACAATAATTATTAATAATATGTTGACTTATCTCATCAGCGTTTTAATTAGTCAGTAGAAAAGCAATTTGCAGAGGGGCTGATCAGGTTCCCTCTGATCCAGCAGGTCATGTGCCAGGCAAGGAGAAAGGCGAGAAGGGCACTGGGGCACTGGGGCATTTTGGTGAAGAGGGCTGGCAAACTGGAGGCACAAAAGGGGAAGGGGCAGCCTCTTTGACAGCACTGATAAGAGTTTAATTATCAATGTAAAGGGAATTGTTCCAGGGATGGAGCTGGCTGCAAAGCTCCCGGGAGCTCTTTGAAGTCATAATTGAGAGAAGCCAGAGCCCGTGGGACGGGGATGCTCCCACTGACCCTTCCGCTTCCTGCACGTGTCGCAGGGGTGGAGGTGAGGGGCACACAATTAAACCCCAGAGTGGCTATTACAGCCAATTACCCCTCAGTTAATTATCCAGTGAGAGAAAATGTCAAAACAGGCCACGCATGCCTCCCTGATGGCTTGACCCTCCCCAGGGCCAAAGGGTGCCTGCCAAAGCGCTGCTGACCCTGCTGTTCCCAGCGCTCCCAGCCTGCTGCTCCTCTTTCCTTGCTGGCCAGAGCAGATCCAGAAAGAAAATAGTTTACTGCCAGGCAAGATCACCCTGTCCACAGGTATGATAAAAACATCAGGGCTTTGCAAGCAGTTACGGTGAGGCTTAATTGCAGCATCCTTCCGACTTTGCACTTCTGATGCTCTTCAGCCCCCTCGGACCTGCCTCCGCAGCTGGGCTCTGGGATCTCCCAGATCACAACAGGAAATCTCTGAACCCTTTTTTTTTTTTCCTGTGACATCCCCAGGAGCCCCAGGAAGGAGGGGACAGGGACCTGCAGGTGTGGGGAAACTCAGAGTTAAGAAAGAAAAGTGGGAAAAAGCTTTTCACAGTAAGCCTTGGGGTGTTAGAGACAGGCATATCTGCAGCAGGGACCCCTTCCTAAGCACCACAGTCCTGGGGCTGGGGCTTTGCGCTCTTTTAATACCAGGTGAAGACCCAGACGGAGTTACCCACATCCCCATTTTCACCAAGGAGGTGGTCCAGGGCTCACACAGAGCAGAGGAGTGGAGAGAGGGAAGAGAGGTGGGTAAAGCACAAACAACAATGTCCCTTTAGCTGGGGAGCCAGGGTCAGCAATGCCATTCCTTGGCAGGAGACTGTGACGGATTTGTCTGTCCATGGGCTATATTTCATGCTGAGCAGAGGCACTGCAGGGACACCCCTGAAGTCAAGGAGCCCTGCATCCTCAAGCATCCAGGGCATGCTGTAGCCATAGCTCAAGCAAGGCAGCCAGCAGGCAGCAAGGAAGGGCAGGATGGGAGACCCCTGCTACCTTCTTTCCAGCAGCATTAGATGAATGCAGGACATGGTGGCAAAAATAAGGGACCCAAATAAAATCAGCTTCAGAGTACACCTCCTCCCCGCAGCACTAGCAAGCAGGCTCTACCAAGCCCTTGTAGCCCAGCGAGATGCCACGATGGACAGGGAATTCAGCCGTTCCCAAGGAGCACAGGTCTGAAGGACACTACAGGCGAGTCACGACCTCTCCTGAGTGCAGCCAAAATGGTGCTGGGCAAACTCAGTCCCTCTCCTGGAGCAGAGAATAGGCCAGGCTTGGAGCTATGTGGACCCAAGCCACTGAGTGAGCCTGCAAGTCACCTGGCCACTCTCCGACATGAAGTCGAATCCTGCTGTAGGACCTGCTCAGGAGCTAGCTAGATCATTGCTGATAGGAGCAAGTATCCAACAACAGCCTCTCTGAGACATCAGCACCCCATCCCACCTCCATTCCCATGATGACACCTGGGTCCAAATGCAGATTTACTAGCCAAAAAGCACTTGGAGCTGAAGGACCAGCTGGAGGATGAAGGAATGAGATGTTTTGAGGGGATGATGAGAAGCAGTGTTAATGGAGGAAGAACCAAGTTCCAGGTAAGTGTTCAGAGGAACCTTTAAAACATCCAGCTGGGGTATGCAAAACAGTTTGTCCCACAGTGTCACATCCAAACAAAGGCACCTTCCTTTGAGGTATTCAAGACAGTTTTCACAAAGCTGCATGGTCATCGTCTAGGTAACAAGGCTATGAGTTGGGCAAAATCACAGGGTAAGCTAAGAGTGGCTTTACCTCTTGACTTACCTAAGACTTGTGGGAGGAGACAGCAGCACAAGATGCCTATGAGGTATTTTTGGCCTGGTATTTTTTAATGCAACTCTCCATGGGAAGCTGTTTGTTCCAGGCTTAAAGCTTGCAGGAGAAAAGATTAGGTGTCATACAAGCCTTCTTTTTTTTTTTTTAATTCAGTATTATCTATTCTTAATAAATATTACCAATAAGGCAGCTGTTTCAGACATGTATTAGCATTCAGGAGTTGCTGGGCTGGTGATAAAGGCAGTATCTCCTATAACACATGTAAGCACCACAGCATTGCCTCTCCTCCGAGTCATGTAATGCAACGGGTTGGACAGCTGCAGTTTGAGGGACCCAGGATTCATCTCCCTGGCTTTAAAGATCTGCAATACAGGCAGCTGCCCCTGAACTGGTCATGGGAGCCCCTGCTGTGGTGAGGAAAAGGCACTTGTAGGCTCAATCCCTAGGGGAGATGCCTGCTTTAGGAGGACAAGGTCCTGCCCAGATGTGCCCACATGTCTCTAGGGACTATAAGGAGGCTTAGGCCAGCCAGCTGAAATGCATATATCTGTACCCAAGTGACCTGTGTGCTCGGGTGATGAATCCCATCTGCATGTCTGATAAATAGCTATGGGCCTGGGGACATGGCCTCTGAGAAGTCTGGAGAGAAGGGCTCATGGAGGTGCATCCAGAAAAAGGTGTCCAGCAGTCTGTAAGCAGTGGGGGGGGGGGCCCTGATTAAGAAGGAATTGCTTAGGATGCAGTGAAGGGTAAAGCAGTGAATGTGGACAAAGAAAAATAGCCCCTTTTCCCAGAAATATCCCCTGCTGTGGCTCTGAACAGTTTGCCAAGGGAGCAGAGGATATTGCTTGCTCACTGATCTTTTAAAAGTGTGTTGAAAGCCACTGCAGAAGAACCCCAGAAGAACAAAAAGAGGAGGCAGCAGCGGGTACTGTGCCTGATAGCACAACAGTCTTGCATCTTGCATCCAAATGTCTAATCGCAGCCAGTGCATATCCACGTGGAGGACACTTCCGAGAGAACATCTCTTCCATCCAGCCGGCAAAGACAGAATAAACCCAGTGGTTAGAAGCCGAAGCATTGCACACTGCAGATAAGCAGTGTTTTTTTAACAGTGATCTGTTAACAACTTGGAACAACTCACTATGGGATGTGGAAGATTTACCATCACTAGCAATTTTGGAATCCAGAACTTTTTTTGTACAAGCTCTGCTTTTAGCAAATGCAAGTTAACTGACAGGTCTGCTGGCCTGTAGGAGATCAGGAGATGCAGGAGATCACATCACATTAGCTCCATGGTCCTCTCTGACCTCATATCCATGAACATTTCCAGGGCAGTTATCATTGCAATAGCTAAGTGCTAAAATTGGAGCCAAGTTAATGATTTAATATATTTACATATATGATAATAATCGATATAAATCTCATCATTGCTGTTGTTACGAATTCACAATTCTGATCACTCCTTCTCAAATAGATAGTGCAGGGACTGAAAGTCTCAGGCAACAGATCAATGAAAATGATTAGAGGCCTGGAAAGATTTCTGTAAGCAACGGAATTGAAAAGATTAGGACCATTTAGTTCAGAAGGGGGCTGAAAAAGAGTGGACATGAAAAATCAACACAACAGCAAAAGGCACCCCGATCTTGACATTTTGTGTATGCAGCAAACCACAATGCACTTTGCAGTTGGTCCCATGTGTATTACAGGATTGTTTCTGTTCACTAAACGGATGAGCAAAATTCGTAGGGCCAGGTTGCTGTTACCATGAAAAATCCACATTTACAATTTTTCATTTTCAGAAAGCTTCTGCAGCAGGAAAACCTGGCTGTGGAAATGCAAGTGAAGGGACCATGCGGATAAGACCCAATCAGCAGAGACGATACGCTCCCATCACCTAGTCAGCAGGTCATTAGCCCTACAGCCTTCCTGCCACACCACAGGGCTGTGCATTTACACTTACGTTCCCCCAGAAAGTCAGCTGCTGTGGATTCTTACATGCACTGTTTGCCCAGTTCCCATATCATATCCCCCTGATTACGGATGGTTCACAACTCTTCACTCATTTTGAGCTATTCTTACTCTGTCACTCTCCCTTGTAAGAGAGGAATGAGATGCTCTTCAGCCTCAGCACCCATGGGGTAACCCAGATGTTGAATTCCTTGGGGACAGTGAGCATCTCACAGCTCAGGGCTCGGTGGAAATTGAGTAAACCTGTTTCTCTCCACCCTCCCAGTGGACTGGGAGCGGTGTGAAATGACGTTTCCTAGTAGGCCGTATCCCACTACCGGTGTTTCAGGCATGACATTTTCCCAACAGACGAGGTCCTCTGTGCCCCATCAGCATTGACCAAGGCACCAGCCCAGGACTGAGGAGATGTCCATTCATCCTGCCCACATGGGCCAGCAGTGGCCTATCCCTCTGGGGTCCCCACAGTGCCAGCAGCCACCTTATACTTACCCCATGTGAAGGGTAAGTGAGCCAGCCCCAGTCCCCTGGGATTGTCGATGTGTCTAGCAAGTTCACTGGAAAACACAGGAGCAAAACAAACATTGCATTAGAAAGCTTGTTCCCTGTCCTCGAGGAGCGAGAAACCAACCCGCCACAAGCAACCTCTCCTTGCACACCCACTAGGCACCCCATGAGCGTGGCACACTTGTCCTCTGTGTCCATCACCCCAGGAGGCTGTGACATCCCCTCTGCCAACTGTCCCAAGCCTTGGAGCATCGGAGGGAAGAGGTGTCGTGTCTGCTAACAGGAACAAACGCCCGCACATGGCATCACCCTGCTCCAGGACAGCACGTACAGACATAGGGCAGCAGGAAGAGAGAACAGTGTTACGCTCAGCCCCTATAAATCCGAGTTACCTTCTCATTCATGCCAAGGACTTGTTCACCTGCAGCTGAGGTGGATAGGAAGCGAGGGGATGGCAGTAAATGCTGCTCCCCCAGATCTGCAGGGAGAGGATACAGCAGAGCTGAGGCTGCACAGAGCATATGACCAAGAGCACTGTGTCGTTTTGGAGGAGAGGGGAATGCAGACTATGGGTCAGAAAGGATGCAGAGCAGGAAGGGAGCCAGAGAAACGAGAGCTGAGGAACGGGTTGTCCACTGGTCCCACCCAGCCCCAATCGACACAACCGGGTCAGCATTTCTCTTTTAGATAATGCCCTGCCAGAGGCTCTGCCAAACCCTGTAGGCTCACTTCACTCCTGGCAGTTTGAAATCTGCACTCCAAAAGCCACTGTAATTATGCGCTGCGGCACCCGGCTCCAACACAAAGCGGCCCCCCCACAATCCTGGCACACCACACCAGAGAGACCAGACTGCAGGGAAGAGACTGCACGAGGAGGCCCATTAAAGTGACCCCTTCAAAAGCCCTGCCACCACCAGGAGCCCAGCTTAACGAGGAGACATGAGCAAATCAAGGTGAGCAGAGGGAAGCTGCTTAGGCAGGAGGAGAGACGAGGACGCCTTTGAACACGCTCAAGAACTTTCTATTGAAACCAGTGAGATGTCGGCGGGGGGAGGACGGTGGGAATCAGTGGCATTGCCGCATGCACGGGGTGAGCTGCCTGCAGCTGTAATCAGCTTCATACGCCTCCCATTAGCCCCACACCCAGGTCTTGGTAGTGTTAGGCAGGGGAAGCCTTATCACACTGCCTGGTAATGCTCTGAGCCTGCTCCAGTCCCCAAGAATGCTTGGGTGGATGGAGCGCATCAGATAGTTATGGGCTCCCAGGCTCTTCTCTAAGGGCAGGATGGACTGCTAGGAGCAGAACAGGCCCCATGGCCTCCTCTGGTATCACCCTGCCATGTCATTCACATGCCTTCTCCTTCTTGGCGAGGTAGCCCCAGCATGAGCTCAGGCTGCTGATGGTCTCTGCTTCCTCTGTAGGGTAATGCTCCCCTAGGGGCTCATGGTGTCAGGGCCACACCCAAGTCTGGTCTATGTTTCCTCCCATGGACATGGTCACACTATGACTGGCCCCTTCCTGTTCCCCCAAGCCCCTCACCGTGTCTCATGCAGGAGTCCCACCAAGCCCCGCAATCCCTCGACATCTCACACGACATCCCACCTTGCACAGTACTGCAGGGAAGGCACGCAAGCCCCAGCTTTGCAGTGGCAAAGGGGCTCAGACACAGTGCCTGGCCTGGACCAACAGGGTCCAGATCCAGAGGTTCAGTGAGCGGGTGAAGGTGAGAAGGATTGACGCTTGGAAGCGAGTCCAGCAGGCACGGACATCAGATGAGCCCATGTCTTGCCTCAACACTGGGCTCCTGCAGAGCCTAGCAATGCCTCCAGCTTTTCCCAGTGCTTTTCCCAGCAATCTTTGCCCTGCAGTCACCCTCTCACTGCAGCAAGTCCAAACCCATATAGGATTCTTGGTCCAGCCTGGTTGCTTTTCCTAAAGATGAAGCAGTGCCTTAACGTAGACCTCAGGCCATCTTTATGCAGCATGTCTGTCCCAGCGCCAGCCCTCAGCTGGACCTCCAGGATCTGAAGTGAACTCGCTCTCAGAGCAAGGCTTGTCACAGGGAAGATGCAGGCTCCAGCCACAGTAAGGGCCAGGACTCAGCAAGATGCGGGTCTGGGCAGCTGGGCGAACGGGTGCCACTTTCTTTTACTATTACCAGGCAGGGAAGGAGAGGGGGGAGAAAGAAGCGGGGACGTGAGCTGGCTGTGAAACATCCGGACGTCATGCTCCTGACAGAGCAGATTAGGAGCTTTTGAGGCATTTATTAATGTTAGCAGAACAATTTGAAAGAATTTCCAGGGTTTCTAGTGTGACTTCATTGGCCCAACAGCGGGCTGAGCCCCTCTACTCCCCGCAAGGCACTGCTCCAACTGCTAAAGAGGCCCCTTGCCCTCAGCACGGAGTAATTACCTCAGAGATCTCAAATCCATTTTTATTTGTTATTGTTAATCTGAAGATTTTCTGCCTATTTTCCCTGGGTAATTCACCCAGCAGGAGCCAGGGCTCAGGAGTTTCCCTGCTCATAGTGTGGGAGCATGGTCCCGGTGACCCTCCACTATGCAGGGCAGCCTCCTCAGCAGGCAGGCAGCCGGGAGGGGACCTCTCCTGCAGATCCTTTCTCCCCTCCCCCTGGTTTCTGCACCCTCTTTCCCACGCTGAGACATTCTGAGGTGCACACGGCTACATCTCACTGCAGAATGGGCTTTCCAGAGAGCTTGAGGAGCCTGCACGCATCAGGGTTCAATTGGAGCATGGCTGCATCATGCCATGGAGAACAAAGCAGAGATCTCCCTGGGGGAACGTCAGAGCTTGCAGCTCCGCTTGAAGACACTACCCCAGGCCCCAAAGCTTTGCAGACTCTTCCCCACAGTACTGCATGGGAGCTAACAAGCCCTGGGGTAGCTAGTCTGATGACAGATCCACTCGGTCCCAACTCTCCTGCTCCCAGTTGTAGAGCCAGCTTGCTACACCCCATCCCACCATGTAGATGATACGGGTGTCACCTGCACCTCATACAGAGCAAGGAGCTGTCTCCTTCCAGCTTTCCGGGTACACAAGTCACTATACAGGCATGCATTCCTTGCAGTACTCCCATGGAGCAGATTACCTGTGCTTTTGTGCAGGAGGAGGGTTAAGATAGTTCTTCTATTATTATTTGGTAAGTGTTTCATCCAAGTGCGTAGGAGTCCTATGTGTTAAGCCCACTGCAGTGGAAAATGGACAAGTAGGAAGGCATTCCCTGTCCCTGAGCTCTTGCATGTAAGTCACTGTACAGAAGGCTGCTGTGTGTGTGCTTGTATGTGAGTGTGTGAGGTCCTGTTGAGCAGCACATTTCCATGTCGTGTTCAGATAGGGGGAAGCCAATATTGAACGAGCGCAAGAGCCAGCCCACCGAGCTCTGAGACGGAGCTGCCGCATGCCACGGGCTCACCCGCCATGACAACAGCAATGCCACTCACTGCATTTGACACTTGAAATACAGTCCGTAAAGTGACTTGCCCAAAGCGGCACAGGGAGCTGGGCCATGGTCCGTGACAGCAGCTGGCTCTCCCAGTATTGAGCACCCTGCCCCAACCACGAGGCACGTGCCTTGAGAATGACCCGCTTAGTCAGCAAAATGCTTCTCTCCTGAAAAATAAAGCACTCAGCAGCTCCCCAGACAGCCACCTTCCACAGACCCCACCGGCTGTTTGAGGGAAACGCCTCCATGCCTCGAGCCACAGATGACAGTGTGCTTGACGCTCCTCGTTTCCTTCACAAACACAGAAAATACGTGCCCTAGGTTCACCCAGGAAGCTGAAATGTAGGTGCTAGCAGGCTGAAAGGAGCCCGCTGCTTTGCATGTAACTGCCCCATCCACCGTTTTGCAGGTGATTTCCCCCACTGTATCGCCTCTCTGGCTGACGGACGCTCAGAAACAGCCTGCGCTTGATGCAGGAGGGTGAATGAGACCCCCACAAAGGACCCCTTTCAGCCAAAATGTTTCTCAGTAAATGTGATGGTTTGGGAGACCTCTCTATCTACAGCTGGGCAATTCTGTTTGATGTTATGGACTGTCTGCATGTATCAGTCTCAAATGACAAGCTCCATTTTGTTTTCCTGAGCACCATTTTGATTTTCACTATTCTGTGCCTTGGCCTTGACTCGGTGTATTGAGCCAAAACACCGGGAGGTGTCAGGAGGAATTCTTGCACTGATGGAAAAGCTGTCAAGCCTGATTGTCCATTCAAATGGAAGCACCTAGCAGCGAGCAGGTCGCTTGCCCGGCGCAAACTAGCTTTTTGAGCTGGGAGTCTTGCTCAAGGGAGACCTACTTGCTTCTTTACAAAGTTACGTCGTGTAAGGTTGCGTGAGTAGCGCGCATTACAATCTCATACAAGCAGATCAGCCAGGAGTCAAAGACGTATTCATATTTATATCTGTGTCTTCCAAAGTAAACAACACTTGAGATGGGTGAAAAAGCTGAGGCAGGGTGACATCTAGGTGATTTTTTTGCCTGGGTCTATATACTTTTTGTGCTACTTAAAATAAAGAATGATTGCTTAGAAATCCTTCCCAATGCCCACTCACACTTGCACTGGAGATCACAGATCCTGTGGGGGTTTGTTATATCCATGCAAGTAGAGGCCAGGGCGTCGTGGGGTCCCATTTCCAAGCAGTCGGTGCCCGGGAAATGTGTTTACAGGAGCCACCATGACCCAACTGAGGGGATCTCTGAGCCCTAAGCCAGCCAGCTTTGCACAGCAGGGTGGTGGGACCAGGCTGGGGAAGCGCATCAGGGGATGTCCCAGCCTCCAGAACAGCTGTTGGGGGCTGAGGGAGGCTCTGAACTCCCTCACTAATTGTTAACCCACTGCTCTAATGGCTCTAATTACTCCATCGTCTCTCTTGGAGGCAGCGGGCTTTGCAGCGCAACATGGGGAGGAAGGGTCAGTGGGAGCAGCCCCGTTCCCTTGGGCTTCGATTCTTCCCTATCACAACTTCAAAGGCCTCCCAAGATTCGCAGCACGGCTCCCTCCCTGCAACGACGCCTTTTGCATCGATAAT